GTAGTAGTAGTAGTAGTAGTTGTTGTTGTAGTAATAGTAGTAGTAGTAGTAGTAGTAGTAGTAGCAGTAGTAGTAGTAGTAGTAGCAGTAGTAGTAGTAGTAGTAGTAGTAGTAGTAGTAGTAGTCGTGGTAGTTTTAGTAGTGGAGCAGTGTCGTCGTCGTCGTCGTAGTAGTAGTAGTAGTAGTAGTGGTACTACTACTACTACTACTACTACTACTACTGCTACTACTGCTACTACTGCTACTACTGCTACTACTGCTACTACTGCGACGACGACGACCACTACCACTTGCACTACCATTACCACTACCATTACCGCTACTGCTAGCACTGCGACTACTGCTTGTCGTCTTCGACGCTGTCGTAGTCGTCGCCCTCTTTCGCCTCATCGTCATTGTTTTGGAAGCGGCAGGCCAAGTCATACTAAACGTGTTGACAAACAATGGTCATGATTGGGATCGACCGAGGGAGCGGATGCGCTCAGACAGCGTGCAGCCAAACTTGAGCAGTGGCTACGCCTTGGTTTATCTTTGGATGGGCTGCTTGTGAACTTCTAGGATCTTCTATTCGCTGAGACATGCTTCTTGGGGCAGGTTGTGGTGCCGAGTGTTTGGGGCTTTCCAAAGCATCCAGGGTTTCGGGTTGAGGACGGGCCCTGAACCCGAAAGCTCGCAGCCCCACAAGTCGAGCAGCGGAAGCGCAGGCAATATCCTAATCCCCAAAACCTCAAGAGTCGTAGCTGTCGTAGCTCGGCGCATTGCTTCGGGTTTGGAGCAAGCAGATCTCCGGGCTGTGTGTTTCTTGACTACGCATGAGATTTCCGGAACAAAGGCGTACTGCATGGAGCGTCGCGTTCTCATTCTGTCCGTGACTGCTGTTGTTCGTGTTGTGCATAAAACTGTCTCCTCGGATTTTAACCATAACCGCTTCTTAAGCACGAGGGCCTTTGTAATCAGACTTTAGGTGCGTTGGAGTACGTGCATGTTTGCAGCTGGCTCTGAGGCGGGTGGTGTAGCTGTAAAACATACGCACCGACAGGTTCCCTTGATGAACGCACACGGGGCGATTTCGGCTTTCAATTTCGGAAGGAGCTCGTCCTGCAGGGAAAGAGAGAAGAAAAGTTGAAATCCAGGTAAGCGAGCAAAATCCTACAGTTTTACGAAGACCAACGAAGTAGCCAGGTACATTGCCATCTTAAACTGCGGAAACCATCTGGGCCCTGCAGTAAGGCTCTACAGAGTCGCCTTCAGACAAACTTTACTGAGACTTTGTCAAGGCAAAGGTTTTCAATGTTCCTACCAAATCACGTACAACCCTAGCATCGCTGCTGTGTTGAGAGAGGGAAACGGGAAACGGTTGTCAGTTGTCTCATTCTAAAATCGGGCGCTGTTCAGATGGTTTGCAGATGGATGGCTAGGTAGGTACATGATCGGGTATACAGTAAGGGCTTGGGTCAGGGTTGTGTTGGCTGGGGATCAAGGATCACGGCGAAGGGCTGACGGATATGTTTCTAGCTTGTAGGATGCCATGTAGAGCTGACAGGCTGCAACGGCGCCATGAGTGCTTGCGGGCGCGGCAGCTGCTGGCCAGGCCTGACCCCGAGAGCCCAACTTACCACGAAGAGCTTACACAACCTGGCCCCCCCGTAACCTGAGGCCACAGCTGAGGAGGACTTTTGTTGGTTTCAGCTTCTGGCGAGATTTATTCTGTCATAAGTCCGGTTGTTTACTACACGGAATATGGTTGTGATGGTGAAGACTCTAGTTTAGACTTGAATGGCTCGCATCTCATCCGGAAGATTCTCCGTGCTGTGAGGGCGTATAAATGAAAGGAGTAGGCACTTGCCGACTGAAGCTTGCTAGGGTCGGAGATTCAACGGGTTCGTCAGTTTTTCGTCGAACAGCTCAAGGCATTCGCAATACCTACTAGAGGCCTTCATCCAGTCAGGTTAGTGTGAATGGAAGGACTCTGGACCCTAAGCCCCCAAAACTAGCTTTGAGTTCCGGAGAAGTGATTGATGGGGATACCAGCTTTTTGTACCGAAATGCAATGCCGCAACGCGCAAATTGAAGCTTCAACCCAGACCCCAAGCTGGACCGTGCACGATGCACACATATCTGGAAGTTTCAGGCTCTGCTGATTCCTGCTTTTCCCTGAACAGGAACTGTGGGGTCCACTCCTTAGAAGAAAGCGGAACGGACCGGTGTCGGATGGGTGACACGCCTCTGGGAACTGGGGGACCCGCGAGGTCACATGGGTGATGCGTGCCTGGGAACCGGGGCGAATCGGATGGTGGCACGTTACTGAGACAGCGGCGCAGCTCCGGTGTCGTTCCTGACCCTCTTGCTGCAGCATGTCCGGGACCGCAACGGAGCTCGAGCGGTGCTCTTGCCGCCACGTGTCTCATGCTGATGCCGTGGTAGGGTTTGCCAGACACTCTACTCCCGATATCGGTGGAAAGCTTGAAATCCATCCGCTGCCGAAGGGTTGTCCGTCTTGCAGCTCTGTTCCCCGATGTCGCCATTCGTGCATGCTGTTTTCTTTCTGCACGGGATGTCACGAAAGCTCGCGTAGCAGAGCTTGAGTTTAGTCTTGCCGTTAGGCAGGGAGGCAGTCCAGGGCCAGCAACCAGCGTATTATTGATAGTATCAAT